ACCATCTGCAGTGATTTTGGAGCCCAAGAAAATAGAGTCTTTCACTGTTTCCACTGTTCCCCCATCTATTTGCCATGAAGTGATGAGACCAGATACCATGATCTTAGCTTTTTGAATGTTGAGTTTCAGGCCAACTTTTTCACTCTCCTCTTTCACTTTCATCAAGAGGCTCTTTATTTCTTCACTTTCTGCCATCAGGGTGGTGTCATCTGCATATCTGAGGTTATTGATATTTCTCCTGGCAATCTTGATTCCATCTTGTGCTTCATCCAGCCCAGCGTTTCTCATGATGTACTCTGAATAGAAGTTAAATAAGCAGGGTGACAATATACAACCTTGATATACTCCTTTCTGTATTTGGAACCAGTCTGTTGTTTCATGTCCAGTTCTAACTGTTGCTTCCTGACCTCCACACAGATTTCTCAGGAGGCAGGTCAGGTGGTCTGATATTCCCATCTCTTTAAGACTTTTCCAGAGTTTGTTGTGATCCACACAGTCGAAGGCTTTGGCATAGTCAATAAAGCAGAAATAGATGTTTTTCTGGAACTCTCTTGCTTTTTCCATGATCCAACAGATGTTGGCAATTTGATCTCTGGTTCCTCTGCCTTTTCTAAATCCAGCTTGAACATCTGGAAGTTCAAGGTTCACGTACTGTTGAAGCCTGGCTTGGAGAATTTTGAGCATTACTTTACTAGTGTGTGAGATGAATGCAATTATGCAGTAGTTTGAGCATTCTTTGTCATTGCCTTCCTTTGAGATTGGAATGAAATCTGACCTTTTCCAGTCCTATGGCCACTGCTTAGTTTTCCACATTTGCTGGCATATTGAGTGCAGCACTTTCAGCACATTATCTTTCAGGATTTGAAATAGCTCAACTGGAATTCCATCACCTCCACTAGCTTTGTTCGTAGTGATGTTTTCTAAAGCCCACTGACTTTTCATTCCAGGATGTCTGGCTCTGCGTTGATGATCACGCCATTGTAATTATCTGGGTCTTGAAAATCTTTTCTGTACAATTCTTCTGTGTATTCTTGCCACCTATTCAGAAGTATCTTCTGCTTCTGTTAGGTCCTTACCATTTCTGTCCTTTATTGTACCCATCTTTGCATGAAATGTTGCCTTGGTATCTCTAATTAAGCCTATGCTTTAGCTGTAAATAACTATGTTTCCTCTTGTACCCTTCTGCTTTCAGGATTGTTGTTTTTTATCCACACTTGAAGGTATGATGTTTATATTTCACCCTTAAACACAGATCACCATTTAGACTCCCAATGCTAGGTCTGCTCAAGCTTTCAATACCTGTTCCTTACAGAAGTACTTTTAAGAATAAGACTATGAATTTCTTTGTGTTACTAAAATATAAACTTTTCTACCCTTCCTAAGAAGTTTTCAGTAAAGTTGATTCTCTACCTATGTTAATTTGTTTTGTGCCTATGACTCTTTTTATCAGTATAAGATAGATGGAGAGGACACTTGTAGAATTTCTAGGCAATTAAATGGTTAATCATTTCAGCGGAAACAGTAGTTTAGAACCAGAGATTATTTTACCAGTGTAAGATCTCAGAGAAATTGTTGCATATATTGTGATGTTTTATTTGCTATAGGCTGGGGGTTATATCAGAGAAGGCAATGGCACCCCACTCCAGTACTTTTGCCTGGAAAATCCCATGGACGGAGGGGCCTGGTGGGCTGCAGTCCATGGGGTCGCTAAGAGTTGGACACAACTGAGCGACTTCACTTTCACTTTTCACCTTCATGCATTGGAGAAGGAAATGGCAACCCACTCCAGTGTTCTTGCCTGGAGAATCCCAGGGACGGGGGAGCCTGGTGGGCTGCCGTCTATGGGGTCGCACAGAGTCAGACACGACTGAAGCGACTTAGCAGCAGCAGCAGCAGCAGCAGTGGGTTATATACCACAAAACCTTTTTTTTTTTCCCCAAGATATGGGGACACCATCAGATTTCTGACCAGAAGCAAATCATTTCTTAATATAGATCTTAATTTTCTCTTTTTTATTTGAATTTGTTTCCTAATCAAAAATTTACTGCAAATTTTACAAATGCTACAATTTCTGCTCTCTTCTCCTCTATTGGAGTCAACTGCAATACTTTGGAAGACAATTGTTCTTTAGGCCCTTATTTTCCTTATCTAATGGCTATTGCAGTTTATGATGATAGCCCGCACATAGGAAAAACAAGCAATGATTGTTGGATTGATTGAAACAGAGTTTAATCATATAAGTTATCTTTGGGTTTACTGTGAACTTAAACTCTTCACACAATTCAGCATAATCATACTTCAAAGTCATTTTTTGAACATGAGCATATAAAATGGACAATTTTTATGCTAAATAATAATTAAAGAAAACAACTACTTTTAAGAATGAAAAAGTAATTCATTGTTAAATAGTTCATGTTTTAATGTTTAGATCTGCAAATAGTAAAGGGTTACATAAATGTTTGATTTTATTTAACTCAGATACTAATTTGGCCTTTTTGCCAAGCCTGCTTTTAATTGCTTTAGAATCACCAAATGCCTGCCATCAAAGAGAAAATAAAGTAATCAGACCCTCTGTGAGCACAGCAGGTGCAGGAAACAGAAAGTAGAGGTTGGTGCCCATCCACAAATTCCTCTCCTAGAAAGAGATTTCAGAGTTCAGTTTGGGATTTTGCAAACAGCATATGGATTTGCTTCGACTCTGAGGATCTAGTCCAAGAGCTTATTTGCTTAACTGAGATCCTGCATCTATTGTCTTAAAATACCCATCTAGAGAAAGTGCTAATTCTACAGGCAAATAATATAATGCATGTAAAAATGATTTTAAAACCAGTAAGTCATGATACAAATGCGAGTTATTATTATAACTATGATCTATAATGTTTTATTTGGCTCCTGAGCCTCTATTTGCAGATGTTTTTTCTTAATATTGAAATTTAAAACTCAATTTAAAACTAATATTTTTTTCTTAATATTTCTTAATATTGAAATTTAAAACAACTGAAATTGAGTGCTTTAACCTTGTTATAGTTTCTGAGCAATGGACACACCCACAATTTTTTGGTTCAGGTTTTCATGGTAGTAAAATGCTGAGGGATAGCAATGATAGTTTTTTAATTTAAGTATAAATAACATATATTAGTTTCCAGTGTACAGTGCAATGATTGAATATTTGTATATATTGTAAAATGATCACAGTATGTCTAGTGAACATCTATCACCACACATACATAGTTGTAAAACTGCCTTTGGTTCAAATCTCATGCTAATAGAATGGTCACAGATAGCAATAATAATTGTTTTTAATTGCAGAAAAACTGTCATTATTCTCTGCTCTCTCCTAAAAGCCAGGCTATGGGTAATATTGAAAATTAGCCCCTCCTCTGATTTGTTTTTGTGCTCCAAGGTACAAACTGGGTTCTCCCCTCAGCTTCTACTTGAGTAGAAGATTATGGGAAAACAGTAAGACACATGGAGAAATGTTTGTATATCAAAGGTTTGTGAGTAAACAGATTTGCAGCTTAACATAAATTTCTGTGTGACAAGGCTTTATAACAGTAAAACATTAAAAGCAACTTTTCATCCAGTTTATATGGATTAAATAAAAGTTGGTTTATCCATATGGTAGAATATTATATGGAGTTTCCCAGGTGGCACTAGTGGTAAAGAACCCACCTGTCAATTCGGGAGATGTAAGAGATACAGTTTTGATCCCTTTGTCGGGAAGATCCCTTGGAGGAGGGCATGGCAGCCCACTCCAGAATATTTATGAGGAATTTATGAAATTATGTGTATATATGCATGATGTAATTTTCCGTGAAAAAGCAGTAGTCAGGGTCAGTCATACATTAGGATTTAAATTTTGTGTAAAAGGTGACCGAAATACTGGATGGAATACATTCAATGACTTTTCTATTTTGCCTATAATATTGTGCAAGTTGTGGGATCTTCATTCCCCAACCAGATACTGAACTCTGGGCCGTGGCAGTGAAAGCTCAGAGTCCTAATCACCGGACTGCCAGGGAATTCCCTATTTTGCCTAAATTTTGAACAATAAGCACATTTGTTGTTGTTGTTGTCAGGACAAAGAAATAAAATATTACTTAAAAATGTAAAGCCTTTTCACTAAGACACTCATTGGCCAACTACAACCAAACCCAGCCAGCAACCTGAATTTATCAGTGAAATTGATTGAAACACAGCTTCGCCCAGTTGCCTATGTGTTGTCTGATCCTCTGTGTTCAACAACTGCAGAGGTGAATAGTTGAACAGAGCCCATATGGCCTGCAAAGCCTGAAGTATTTATTATGGGGACCTTTACTGGGAAAAGTTTGCTGATGGCAATTGTAGGCTCTTATCCTGCTATTAGTCTCTTCCTGGCAATTCTTTTTTTAGAAAAATTATGTCCTTTTTATTGACATATGTGCGTGCATGTACACTCAGTTGCTTCAGTCGTTTCCGAGTCTTTGTGACTCTATGGTCTGTAGCCCTCCAGGCTCCTCTGTCCATGGGATTGTCCAGGCAAGAATGCTGGAGTGGGTTGCCATGTCCTCCTCCAGGGGATCTTCCTGACCCGGGGATCGAACCCATGTCTCCTGCTTTGCAGGCAGATTCTTTACTGCTGAGCCACTGAGGAAGCTCTTATGGAAGTATACTTTTTTGCTTGTTCTTTTATTTTTAAAATAGAGATATAGTTGATTGACAATGTTGTGTTTGTTTCAGATGTACAGCAAGGTGATTCAGTTATACATATGTGTGTGTGTGTGTGTGTGTGTGTGTGTGTATAAAACTTATATATTCTTTCTCAGATTTTTTTCCCCTTGTAGGTTTTTATGAAATGTTGAGTGTAGTTCCCTGTGCTATACAGTAGGTCCTTGTTGATGATCAATTTTATAGTGTGTATGTTAATCCCCAATTCCTAATTTACCCCTCCTCAGCTTTGCTCCCTGGTAACCGGAAGTCTGTGTTCTATGTCGGTGAGTCTACTTCTCTGTCTAACTCACTTTCTCTCGGCCCATCCACTTTGCTGCAAACGGCGTCGTTTTTGATGACTGAGCAGTGTTCCAAATGTGACGCTACCACAGTTCTGATCCTGCGTCTGAGCAGTGCTCAGCTGGCTCTGCTCCCCCGATCCCTTCCTTACCCACAGCAGAACTTCTCCCTGGAGCTCCTCACTGTCCATTTTTTGGAGCTCAAATCTCATGGTGCACCGTCAGCTCCATCTGGGAGGTTCTGGGGGCATGGGCACCAGCAGGGCCCTGCTTGGAGCCAGCACCCCCTGAGATGCCCCTTTAGCCACATCCTGGTGGATGTTGTGCCCAGAAGCCCCATCACTGCTCTGCTCTTTTAGAGGCTGAGGCTGACCCAGGACCTCCCCTCGGTGTCCATCTCCAGAGAGGCAGCCCCTGTGCTGACTGCCCTGTGTCCTGACTGGCTCTGTGAGCCTCTTCGGTTCTCTCCAAATCCTTCCTCACACTCTCTGGAGCCCAGTGGATCCGAGACAACCCCATGTAAGAGCCCTTGGCTGCCTGTCTCAGTCCCTAATAAGGTCTCAGTGCTACAGGCTAAACCCTGTCCAGGCAGCAGGCCAGCAGAAGACAGGCCCGGTCAGACACTTGGCTCTCGCAGCTCACTGGCAACAGGAAAGAAAATTGATTTTCCCATTCACGAGGAATGCAATAGGCATTGACTGTCCTTCAAGTGAAACAAGCAATAAACAAACAGATGTACATGTCTGGACATATAGGTTAGTTCATGTCCGGTGTATATAGACCTGTGCATGCATCCTTTGCCTTTATGTACTTTACTGCACAGTGTTGTTGCCGCGCAACACGAGGCGCTTACTAATGAAACCCTGATGGAATTGGAGGCCTAGAGAAAGGACAAAGAGAGACAAGAGGGGGAAGAAGGAACTGAGGAACTGAAGAGGTTCATGATGCAGGAAATGGCAAGCGGATTTTCTTTAAGGGGGCACTGTTAGTTTGGGGGGCTTCCCTGGTGGCTGAGGTGAGGTGTAGGACCCGAATGTAGAACAAACAGTGCCTGAAAGTTGCAGCGGCCGTTCAGAATGCAATTCAGTACAGTTGTGTCATCTATGATAAGCAAGGAAGAATTATGACCCAGACATCACTGGATCGTGTTTTCAAGAGGGTAGATGGGATTGAATTCAGCAAGGAAGTAAAACCTGTGCCAGCAGCGGCAGTTGTGAGTGAGGTCGCAGCTTGCCCTTCATCTCCTAATGCTGACCAGCCTTCAGCTCCACCATCTCCCACCTCCTTTCTCCTCCAGTCAATAGCTCTCCTTGCCCATCCACTTGATGTCAGTCCATGTATGTCTGTCAGCTGTTGTATGTGCTACTGTACTATTCAAGGTACTGTACTGTAAGATTAAACATGTTTTATTTTTTGCTTGCTTTTTATGTATTATTTGTGTGAAAGCATTATAAACCTATTAGAGTACAGTACTATATAGCCAATTGTGCGAGTTGGGCACCTTGGCTAAGTTTGTTGGACTTACGAACAAATTGGACTTAATGAACATGCTCTCAGAATGGAACTAGTTCATATTTGTAGGGGACCTACTGTATATTGTGATTTTCTGGGATTATGATTTTTTTTCTGGAATTTTCCGAGTTGCTAGTAGTAAGTCAAATTTTTGAATGCTGATGTCATGAAGTCAAGCCTAGCAGGTCTGCTGATGTGAAGATTCACATCTTACACACATGGGCCCTGAGTCATAGCTGCCCTCTAAGGAGCCCCTCTCGTATAACTTCCTGACCAACAGACTGCCCAACTCGCATCTCTGGAGCAAAGATCTCCAGGTTTTCTGTGTAACCCTGGCTCAGTCCTGTACATCTGGGAACCTTGACTTTTCTCCTTTGAGTTATGCAAGCTTGTATATTGTTTGAGTAGTTCTCTTTTCCTTTGAGTAGAACTCAGGTCTGTTGTGGCCATGAGTCCCCATTATTCAGTCTTTCCTACATCACATTTTAATAATCTCCTTCCAGTTGAATATTTTGGATATAAACCCACTAGTTAGTGTCTGGTGAGGTTGCCATTCATTTTTACACTTGATTTTGGAAGACCATGTTTGCCCCTTAGTCTCATAAGCCTGGGAAGAGGTGATTGCTTTGGTCTTCACTTTCCTTCGTGGGCATCAGTTCTCAAGGGTTAATGTTTTAAAAGCTCCTCCCACCAGCACACAATTCAATTAGAATTTTGTTCATGTCTTCAAAGTTCTATATGACATTGCTGTTCGGGCTCTCAGTCATGTCCAACTCTTTGCAATCCCATGGGCTGCAGTACGCTAGGCTTCCCTGCCCTTCACCATCTCTGGGGGTTTGCTCAAACTCAAGTTGGTTGTCAGTGATGCCCATCCAATCATCTCATCCTCTGTTGTCCCCCTTTCCCCCTGCCTTTGATCTTTCCCACCATCAGAGTCTTTTCCAGTTATACTTATTTCTAAAATGAAGCTGAGCAAACACTTTGAACTTTGTCAATATTATCAGAAGGAAGCTCAGACGAAAGTAAAAAACATTCAGAGATGCCCCATGTCACCCTAGTAGACATCCTAAAAAATGGCCATGCCCAAAGAAGTTCTCTGTGCAGTTGTAATGCTGAGCCTCAAGGCACTTTGTGGTGGCTGGTTCTTTCACACGGGCTGTTAGGGATCAGACATGCTTCCTTTACAAGAACAGGAGACTTTTCAAGTATCCAAACCACACCCAGCCTGATCACAGATCTCCCTTGGGAAGGAGAATACAAATACTGCTGAATATGTATTTTATTTCCTACAATTCACTCACTGACACTCCTAGTCCATTAATCACCTTTATGTGAGTTTATTTTTGCAAGAAGGGATGTGGTGGCTGCATCCATCATTTGAAGTCATCCTCATAACCTTCATCAATCTGAACATGGACGTGATGTCAAAGACAACTAACATGTAGCGTATAGGCATCATTTACCTGGAGTTGGGGAATAGGATTCCCAGATGTTTGCTGCTCCTGCAGTGGATAAAACTGGAATAGATGCCCTTCTCTAGTCTTGAGTTTAAGTTGTGTTTTTGTCACATCAGTCAATACTATTTAGGCCTTTTTCTAAACACACCCTGACGGGCATTGTGCTCTTTAAGAAAGAACTCAGCTGTGCACTCACTTCTACTGCAGTGAGTACTAACCAAGGGTCCTTTAGAGATTAAGGCTAAGAGATGCTTGAGTGGTTCCCTCAACCTCAGAAGGCAAAGATGCTGGTTCATAACCCCCCGCAAAGACCTGGGAATTCCACGAGGTAAGACCCCTTCCCCAGGATGAGGAGGTCTCCAGTGAACTTCAATACCTCTTACTTTACCATTTTAAGCTTTTTGTAAGAGAAATATTGTCAGTGAGACTATTGACTTTTTAAGGAAGGTGGTGCGGCTGGCCCCCGCGAGGAAGGCTGGCTGAAATGGTGTATTGTATACAAGATATGATGTCATACTGAGTCCAGGGGTTGGACTTGGAGTTCTGCCCACCGATCTCTCAATATTGTCAGAATTGTAGAACCAACTGAGCTTGAAGGATGTTGACTAGTGTTACCTAAACACCTGAGGAAAAGAACTGTACACAGCGGATATTCAGGTTCTTGGTGGTGGTTTAGTTGCTAAGTGATGTCTGACTCCTGCGACTCCATGGACTGTAGCCCCCCAGGCTCCTCTGTCCATGGGATTTTCAAGGTAAGAATACTGGAGTGGGTTGCCATTTCCTTCTCCAATGCATGAAAGTGAAAAGTGAAAGTGAAGTCGCTCAGTCGTGTCCGACTCTGAAGCCTCAATAAAAACCCAACAAGGACGGGGATGTTCAGAGAGCTTCTAGGTTGAGGAACCAGAACACGTTCACTTGGCACAATGTGGGACTTCAAACTCTAGGAAGACAGAGGTTCTTTGGGATTCATCCTCTGTATCTCTTCACCTCTCTCTTCTCTATCCTTCACTGCCCTGTGTAGTAAATGGGTCATCTAGTAAGTACATCCGTTTCCTGAGTTCTACAAGCCTCTGGAAAATTAATCAAACCTCAGGAGGAGTTGTGGGAAGCTGTTGTATGGCCAGGCAGAAGTACAGAAAACTGCCTGGTCTTGTGATGGCTGTCTGTCTGAAGTGGAGGGAGGTTTTACGGGACTGGCTTCCCTGGTGGTTCAGCTGGTAAAGAACCCAGTTGCCAATGCAGAAGACACAAAAGATTTGGGTTCCATCTATGGTTTGGGAAGATCCCTGGAGAAAGAAATGGAAACCAGTGTTTTTGCTTAAAAAATTCCATGGACAGAGGAGCTGGTGGGCTACAGCCCATGGGTCACAAAGAGTCAGACACAACTGAGCACACATGCCCCATATCTAGGGCGTCTCATGTTGTCTCGGGGCAGACAGTGTCAGAACTGAGTTGAATTGTGGGACCACCCCTAGAGCTGGAGTCTGGAGCATTGCTTGGTGGTTTGGGGGAATACCCCTTGCACCCTGCCAAGCAGTGGAATTGGGTACTGGACCCTAAATAGTGCACTATGCATATGCCCTCAGGCAGGGGCCCATGCACGCTTGGTTTAGAATGCCACTCTCACCTTATTGAGTCAGGGACCCTGCCGTTTGTTCGCACCGGGCCCCATAGATTTTGTGGCCAGATGCACACGGAAACACACAGAATTGCTTGCTGTGAAACACAAAGAAGGCTTTGCCCTTGAGGATTGCCTGCCAAGGGCTCTGGATGTGGAGTGGGACTTTCTCTCAAACATATAGATGGAGGGCAGTCTGGAGCATCTCCAAGGGAAGGAGCTGTCCTTGTGATGGGAGGTACTGGACAGCATCATCGCAGAGGTGTGAGGTATGATTATAAATGAGATGGCCCAGAACAAAGTCAGAAGCTGGAAAAAGTGGCATTCCTTGTTGAGAAGTCAGTGGTTTGCTCCTAGACCATGATGAGGGTAGGATATTGGAGCCCTGATGTTGGCGGTGCCTGAAAGCCTTAAATGGCACATCCATGTACTCACATTTTGTGTTGGACTATTTTTCCTTACTGGATAGTGTAGAAGACCTGGTTTCCTCTTCTATATAGTAATGTTACTGGCTCATCTCAGTAACTGAAAACTTTCTTTTCATTTTGTAATTCATCCTGGATACCCTGAAAGAATGTCAACAATATTTAATTTAAAAAAAATTAATCTTTTGCGACTGACCCAT